AACGGAAAAAATATTTTTTATAATTTACCGATCCTATAAAAGTGATGGATTTTCTCTGTAAATGAGCATTTATCGTCCGAATTAGCTTCGATAGTCATCCTGATGGTCTTATCATGTGGGCAAACAAGATGAGATTATAGGCTTAAGGTCTAAAGCAATTTTATTTATTTTAAATAACTTTACACGTTTTAATTAGTATATAATTGTTAATTAAGTGGTAATGTAAATTTTTAGTTTTCAGTTTTTTATTTGCACAGATTTGCGGTCCTTTTAGACTTGCCTTGTGTGCTCGTGATGCCGCTTTATACTAAGAGCAGACGATCAAAATTGAAGCCTAAAGCTAACGCACCACCTTGTTCTGGTACATTTATTTTGTGCATTTATTTATATTTTACTATCTTTTAAGCCTCAAGATGCTCTTCAAAACCTAAGGAATGTCGATTCATAAGCCCTTCGGAAGAAAAGTGTATATGTGTGTTTATTCCTTATTTTTGATATTTATATTTAATTCATAGCTCTCCAGACAGTCCTTCTTATTCAAAGCTGGTACAGACGAAATGTTGCTCAACTTGAAGCCAGGCGACGTTGTGCTTGGCAAATTTATCAGGCACTCGAATATGCAGATGAACAAGATCACATACAAGTATGCTTCGAGTCAATTTGTATGTTCAATATCCGTTACTTTGTATTTATTCATGTATTCTTTTTATTTTTGTTGTTTTAGTTGCAAAACCTCTTTCACAAGTTCTTTAATGATTCAACGAGTAAGTTAATTTACAACATATTGTATTATGAGTTCAAGGTGAGGATTTTCCCCAAGAGTTTTATTCACAAACTTCTATGAAACACTTAACTGTTGCTGAAACGATTGATTGTTCGAAAAATGAAATCACAAAAATAAATACCTTAGCTACAGTTGCTGTTAATACAAAGTTGAATTTTGAGCTGAGCATGTCTATCATTCCCTCTCTTATGGATGATCTTTTAATTGGAAAGGTATATGAT